ACACACACACACACACACACACACACACACACACACACACACACACACGAGATTTAATCACAGAATGCAAGGCCTTCTGAGATCACCTAACCTAATTTAATTCTGTTATGAAACAGGACCACAGATTTAGGCCTAGAAAAGGTCTATAAATCCAACTCTCTCATTTTGAAAATGAAGATGATGAAGCCCAGCCCAAGGTGAAGAAATTTGCCCAAGGGCATGCAGGTATTAAGGGAATTGACCACAGCAACTTTCAATCCCAGATTTGACCACAAATCCAGCAATCTTTCTGTTGCATCACACTGTTTCCCATACTATCTCCCAGCTTAAATTAAATAAATAAGCCAAATAAATCACAGAACACCACAGTCCTGATGGTATGTTTTGTTCAAAACCTGAGACTTCACATGTGGGTGGCCCTCAACCCAAGTCAGAAGGCTTCCTTTGTCATTTAAAATTCTTCACCATCTTTAGAACCACAGAAGATGAAAGAGATCCTACGAACTGTATTTTAGAGAAGAGGGAACTGAAGCCCAGAGAAGGGAAGGAAGGAAACACGCAGTTATTAAGCTGCTATTATGTGCTAGGCCCTTTACAAATATAATCTCATTTGATCCTTACAACTCTGGGAGGTAAGTGCTGTTATTATCCTCACTTTACAGGTGAGGAAACTGAGGTACAGAAAGATTAAGTGATTTGTCCAGAGTCACATAGTTAGTAAGTGTTTGGGACAGGATTTGAACTCAGGTCATCTTGACTGCAGGGCCAGCACTCTATCCACTGCACAGCCAGCTTGCCTCGGTGAATTGACCAAGGTCACATAGTGAGTTCATGACACTCCTGGTTCTGGGATCCTGCACAATTCTCTTACCCTCTATCCCCTACCCCCAATGCCCTAGGTAATAATCTAGGGCTATAAGTTGCAGATGAAGTGCTAATTTGCATTGGTAGAAAGAGTTCTAAGGAATTCCCAACACCAAGAAAATTATAGGTCTGGTTCAAAAAATATAAATGAACATATACCTCATCCATTAACATATCATAATTTCTTTTGCTGTTCTTCAGTTATTGGACATAAAGGTCATTTCTGACTTTTTGCTATTACAAACTGACTCGTGAAAATTTTTATACAAATTGATGCTTTTTTCCTTTTTATAATACTTTTAGGATACATAGGATTAATAGGTTTCTACTTTGCATCCACTGCTCTGCCTGGTTTCAGCTCCAAGGAACAAGACAGTCCCTGGTGTCCCTCTCCCCCAGCTTTCCTACCTCCTTTTGTGTGTTGTCTTCCCATTTAGATTATAAGCTCCTTGAGGGCAGGAACTATCCTTTTTATTAATAATTGTGTCCTCAGCACTTAGCACAGAGTCTGGCACATAGTAGGAACTTAATAAATGTTTAATGAATTGGATTGGATAATGCTAGAACACTGTACTTTGTGCATATGTGCATCAAACAATAAATTCATTATATTTTTCATATTTA